CATGGAACTACACTTATACGAAACGTAGCAATTGCATGCCGAAATTTCATCTTTTAGAAGGACACCTGTAGGGATCTCTTCTCGGAAGAGATCCCTGTTTGTTGACACTGCGTTGATTGAATTTTTGAGCCGCAGGAATTTTTTTCGTTATCAAATTCCTTGTATGAATTTTTTTTTAGGCAGTAGCATGAATATTCTTTAGGGTTAATTGGCGTGCATGAATTTTTTTTCATTTAATTTTGTCATTTAAAGGAGCTGTGTCACGAAATTCATCCAAATTAGGTAATTAAAAAATGCCCGTTAAATTAAGAGAAACGTAAAAATAACTGCTTAAAACATTAAAGGAAGGTTAGGTTAACAGATGCCACGGATGGGCAAAACTGAAGAAGATTGAAACGGATTGAAATTAGGGTTTTTTAAAATTGATCTCTGGTGTTTGCAACTTCAAAAATAATGCTCGGGAGACATATTTGTGTGTCTCGAATCTCTGATTTTGTGATTTCCATGCAATTTCGTTGCCTACTTTAAGTTCCATAGCGATTGAGGGCGAGTAATTGGCAAAGTTAAACAAACTGGACTGCCGTGACACAGTCCCTTTAAATGGGAATCAAACACAAAAATAGAACGTTTTCTTGACTTTATAAAGCCATAAAATTAATCTTTTAGTCGTATGACACATTTCCCTACCCTTTCGTATACTTCAACTAGTGAAATCCCTACCCTTTCATATACCTGAAGCCGGAAAAGGGACTCTTTCGGGCGGAGCCTACACTGCAAAGGCCATTATAGCGATTATTCCCCTCCGCCTCGAATCCTTACTGACCTTTATATTTTCTCTATTTCCAGTACTGACATTATCCACTAAATAATCTCCAAACTTAGCAATATTACGGAATTCAAACAGCCTAAAACTCATTTGCCCAAAACAAAAATACGTACTCTATCCACATGAAGCAAAGTTCCGCAATGCAAGGCCACAACCTTTTGTACAGCTGGACAAAAGTAACGGAGGCTCTGGGGACTGAACTTCCTGCAAAGCGTGTCGACACTAAATAACATCGACCGAAACCTGAGCCTCAGCTAAGTTCCTCGAAACGACCATAAGCCACGTAAGAGTCTATTGTAGATTTAACAGTTTTTAGTAATATCAACTGTTAATGTCAAAAACTGACCCTTTTTAACTCAAATTAACATTCTCGCAGCGATCGATCAAATGAGCGGAAGTCCAGGGTTCATTTTGTAAGACGCCGCTGACATATCGCTGACTCATCTGGTTTAGGTCGATGTCATCTAGTGCCTTCCTCCTGCTCATGCACACTTCACACGCATGTGCCATCTAGTTTTTACGTCATCTTAACCACTTGACTTTTTAGCAGCATCCCAACGTAACACCTTGTACATCTGCTATTATTAATTATGGAGAATTATACGGCTTCGCCAAAAACTGTATCCAGCGATAAAAAAAGCTTCCTAGTGCCTAGTGTAGTTCCTATTGTTCCTATCGCCAGGTTTATACTCAAATATTCCAGTAGTTTTGTGAACACATCTTCAAGACTTCCGCTAGTATAACGTCAGAAGCATATAACTCTAGTACATTAGTTTCTATCTGTATGTGTTAATGTCTGCCTTTCTGAGGCACTACCCAGCTATACTAACATGAACTCGTCCATTTTCTCCTCAGCGCTGACTAAAGTCTGCCTACAGCTGTGCCTATATTAAACCTGCGACCTGTACCTAAATAACTAAAAAATGTTAAAATAAATAAAATTAATTAATTAATCCAATAAATTAATAAATAAAGACTTATGTTCCAACTGTCAAGTCTTCTTGACTTAAATTTCTCTTTTCTTGAAACTTACTAGACTGACGTCGCAAGGTGCAGTTTCCGCAACATCTTTGAATGATATATTCAATCCAGTTAATTTATAACCTGAAAGCTTGTAAGCCCTGTAAGCCGCTTACACGAAAGCTTACGCTGAAAACCTGTCCGTAAATCGTGCCTGGTATAATCACTAATGCGTGATCAACAAATTACAAAGGAAACAGTGAAAATGAAAATAAATGCTACTTTCCTTCATTCTCCGTCAATGCATATTAAATCCGACCAGTAACTGAAGTTTAAAAAATATTACAATGTAAAATACGATTTGACGTCTCCTTTACCTCATGTTTGATGCTGT